ATTGCGATTATATTATTATAATTATATTAGATATAAATAGATTGTTTTTACCATTAATTAATATTATAATTGATGCCATAATCAATGCCATAATTGGAAGCATGTCATTCTCCAATATAAACAAAATCTAATTACTTCAGTTTGCTCAAATTTATGTCCACCAATCCTCATTCCAGATTTCTATAGTTTTATAATTTATTCAATAAGTTACAACATTTGGCATTCAAGAAGGATGTACTAAGATAGAATGCAGATTATAGTAAACATAAAAAAAGGTGGTTAGAAGTAGCTCCTACTGCTGCAGAACAAGGGAGTAACATGCATCCCAAAACTATAGGAACCAAAGGAGTGAAGAAGCAAAAGGCTTGCTTCCTCAGTGGGACATTTCAAATGGTAGATGTAATTTTTCTTAATCATACTTCCAGTATGATTTGATGACCTCAAAATAAAGTATTCAGTGACCTTTGAACTATAGGAACCAAAGGAGTGAAGAAGCAAAAGGCTTGCTTCCTCAGTGGGACATTTCAAATGGTAGATGTAATTTTTCTTAATCATACTTCCAGTATGATTCGATGACCTCAAAATAAAGTATTCAGTGACCTTTGAATTAGAACTGCCTATATAAGGATGATAATTCACAAAAATCTCTAGGATGTAGAAACGCTCAGCGTAAGCTCACAAATGTGTTTTATTATAGCTTTGGATTTCCCAAGTAAATCATTGATTGAATTATATAGTTCAGTAACAGCTCTTCCTTGTGATTAACAAAACAAGGAAATATATTTGTTAACAGCTAAGTCTATAAGAAATATATAATTTGTTTCAAATAGTTGATTGAGGAACCTCTCCGAACCCACCTGAAGGCCTATTTAGGATGACAAAAGAATAAAGACCAGGAGAAGTTCATAAGAAAAAAATCATCCCACCATCTATATTAAGTAAAATGAAAAAGGAAAAGCCAGCTTATGTTTTTCCAGCTCCCACTACAGCTCAAATCAACCTAACTGAAGGGTCAAGTTTTCAGCCTAGTCATTTCATTCCATCACTACGTAGCTGAGCTCCTCAAAATAATGAACGTGTTAAGCACTCTAAACTTGAATAGCACCTTAAATTGTGTCCCCCCACCCAAAAGAGAGATATATTAAGTTTTCTGACACTGGTAAATTAAGGAATTTAAAGTTGAACTAGCGCAGCAATTACAGAAATGAAAATTCTAATAGACCGAAGAAATGTTGCCAGGGAAGAGAGAGTTACATAAAATGTGAAAACAATGGCGACAATTATAATTGATGCTCCCCAGTGGTGTGAAAAATCATTCATCAGCTTTCTTGCAACAAAGATACAAAAAACAATGACAGGAGCCACAATCAGGAACATGGTGAGCCACAATGACCTCGCATCTGGCCCAAATATAAACCTTCCATGAAGAAAAAATTTCTGCAACAAGATAAGCAAGTAAGCAACTAAAAATTTAGCAAAAAGCAACCACGTTACTCCAAAATTGACAAGGAATTCAACATTTCCATAAATGACGAAATGAGCTTCCCAGTGGCTATTACACAGGAAAGGATATTCCTGATACCAGGAAAATGAGTGAATCTCAATCTTAACTTCAATGCTAAACAACAAAGTTAATTAAAAGCAAACAAAGGCAAAACACAATACAAGTTGATTCAAGACAAGAATGTATACAATTAAACCCACCCAAATCACCATTTTTTAAGTACTTAAATACATAATTTGAGCCTAAAACTATCCCTTGTGAAAAAAAATGTCATAAATTTCAACAGAAAATGAGCACTAATTTACCAAACCCAATTTAACAACCTTAGAGGCTGGATTCACAGATGCAAGATGTACATAATATTATATTGTTAACATCCCTCATTTATCCCGTTCTCACGTCTGATTTCACCAAGATATATAACATTGCTTCAATAAACCCATACATACTGTAGAAAAAAATAACTTTCTCCACGAAGACAGTTCTACCACGGCTGAACTGGTTATTTTAAAATGAAATGAGAAAAAAATCAAGGCTTTGCCCAAATTTTTCCTTCTTTTTTGTTTTTCTTATATTAAACTTATATTACCCAATTCAAACTAGCAACACAAATTCCAATGCATGGGTAATTTTTAGAGAAATTTTTTTTTGAAGATATCATAATAATCATCAACTACAAACGAAATTAGAAAAAAGTAGCACTAACATTGCTTCCTTTCCAAGTCTGGTAAATCCGAAGGGCATCAAACCCATCTGTGGATCCGGATAGCGGATCGGGCCTCTTAGGCGGAGGAACCACGTACATCTCTCTCTATTTTCCTTCTACCTTAAGTTGAAATCTTTAATGCAAACCCCACTGTCAAAACTTTACACAAACAACTAATGCTACTATAATTACATACTGTTCAGTGTATAACGAGTAGTTGCTAAAAATTTGAACTATCCAGCGAAAAAATCAGCCGTTAAATGAGTTCCATTCCGGCGACGGTTAAGAATCCACAAGAGGAAGAAGAAAGAAAGGGAAGAAGGGATTCTTGCACAGTGGGTTTGTTCGTTGTGTGTTTTGCTTTTTACTTGACAGTGAGATTTGATGTGAGCGTGCACGCTTTAGAGGATGGTCAAACTGACGTGGAATGCTTTGATAGGATTTTCTGTGGATGGATTGGAACCTTTTTTGGGAGTTGGCTGTGGACCCCCACTCTCCACTACTAGATCACTTTCCGTTCTGGGTTTTGCTAGAGGCCCTATCACTCCAGGCGTTCCTGTTCGTCCAAGGCCCACGTGCTCCTCGATGAATAGCAAAATCCTTCCGTCTATAGTGATATTGATCGGATCCAAGTTTTTGTTGCGGCGGCACTTCCATAGTTCCATTTAACGCCAGTTTGTTTACCATTATTTTACAATTCTTTTATGTTTAAATGTTTGTTTACCATTATTTTACAATTCTTTTATGTTTAAATTTTTTTTTTAATCCATGTTTGACAAACATTCTTTCAAAATTTATTTTCAACCACACACATTCTTTCAAACTACATTCTTTCAAAACTCATTTTCAATCACACATTTAACAATAAAATAATATTTTTCATCACATCAATAACTTTTCTTTATTTTTTAACCACATTTTTCACATCATATCACTATTTAAAATACATTTTTTTTCATCAATAATATCAATCAAACACACAGTCTTACATTTTCGCAATAAATTTTGCACCTAAATTCAAAACTATTTTTACTTTTTAACCACAAATTCTTTAAAAATTCCCTATTAAAAAATTCATTTTATCTTATTAATAATAGACAAACAATAGCTTACATTAATTTAGTAATAAAACATTACTAAATAATTCGTGTTTTCAAAAAAAAAAGTACATAAAAAAAATATTTTAAGTTGAGATTTTCGAAAGTGGCGGTGCAATGATGTCGGCACTCAACTTCGCCCATTCGGCGAGTAAGACTTGACTCAATGACTAAGAAATTGGACATTCTTGAAGTTTGGCCCAAATTAGATTGGGTATTGGTGGATTTATTTAAGTGGACCTTGAAAAGGTCAAAATATGGGCCAATGAAGAAAAATGGGGTGTCGATGTTAGCTGGTCGCTAGCTACGCCGCTCAAGCGGCGTGGTGCAAATATTTACCGAAACAAGCTATCTAGCGTGGCCCTTGCAGTGCCTGAGCATTGACCTCACCACGAGCTACCCACTCGCTTGGCTATTCAAGCCCCACAAGGTGCTTGCTTTTCGTGGGGCCGCCACTCGAGCAGTAGTGAAATCGAGGAAAAATCTGTTTCATTTACTCCATGTGTTTTATGATGCTCTTTCGATCTATGATGCTATTGTCAGGGTTTTGATATGTACTCTATATATAGTTGGCTTTTCATTACAAATTTGAGAAGGTAGACAATATTGTAAACACAATACATTTATATTCTTTCTTCATTTTATAGTAAATTCTCATTTCATTTGCCAAATTTCCTACGTTCTTCTTGTGCAATGATCTTTACTTTCTATTGTACCATATAATCTCGTCTTTAATTTCTAACAGGCATTAATCAGTTCATGGCCCTATTACACCTCATCCCACAATACTCCAATCACTGCTCACTAGGCATGTAACAGTTAACTAACATGTCACTTCAAACCTCAATCCACATTACTTGCTTACGTAGCCTAATCGAGGCCATCAAAAAGGAAGTCAAAGTGATGCCTTCACATTACCCGAGCACCATGTTGAGGCAAAACCCCTCGATTGAGACAAGATTCCACAATCTGCTACAAATAATTTTTAAAGCGATGCCGATTTGATTGCACATGTTATCTTCCGTAACTTCACCTTATCCATGAGATCTTTTGTATGAGATCTTCCATATGATTGATTGAATTAACTTTTCTACAGTATGCACTTCTCAGTCTGTTCAGATATCAGACCAATGTAAAAGGTTAGAACTTTTCAAAATCATTAAATACCATCTGAACCTAGAACTACAGAAGTGACACATATAAGAAGTCGAAGTTCTAGTGAACGCCTACTCCACCATTTGATAAAGTCGCGTATTTGTCCAAGTGTGCAGGAGTCTTATGTGTGCACGTAAGTGGAGTCCAGATCTGTTGGCCATGCTATCCAACTAAAAATTGAGATCAATATATTGGTATCATTTCTAGAAAACCATCCTTTAACCACGGGCACAAAAGCTTAACAAAAAATACACCCCTTCTCCCTTCAAAAATGTTTTATTCTTAAGAAAGAATGAGTGAAAGTTTTAAAATAAGGGATTAAGTGTCCTTTATTTTACATACCTTTTGATCTTAAGTTCACAAGAGGCAAGATGTTTCGAGTATTTCTTGAACAGTGGATAACTTTGGAACAAGAAGAAGATTAGGTGTAAAGAGGTAGACCTCAATTTAAAGGCGTAAAAGAGACATCATCCCATTGAAAGTGGAATAGGGGTAGATGTTGATAAGTATAACTAATACACTTATCTAGGCGCGGTCAATTTAGGATATTTGGGATTACTTTTGATGAAGTTTAATCTCTTGTTTATAATGTTTGTTAGGTAAAACTCGATGATTAGGTGTGATTTTGGAAGAAATTAATGAAAATTATCAAAAGAAAAATGATGGTTTTCAAAGTCTAAGGACTAAATTACAAATATTCAAAAATTGATTCGGACTAAGAAATGATTCTTGAAGATCATATGAAGTCAATTGGATGAAATTAGAAAGCAAAGAATGAAAATTGCATAAAAAATTGATTGATGGTACAAGAAAAATGGACTAAACTGCACCTTGAAAGAAGGTCGGGAACCTATAGAGGTTAAAATGGTGAGCTCTCACCGTGTAATTGGGGTTGCGATGTAGAACCTTAAGGTTTAAACTAAAAAGCCATGCATGAGCAACCAATTTCCCCAAGCGTGCACATGGGCTTAATATAGGTAGATAAGGACAATTTTCTTTATTTGATTGAAACTTTTTTGGAATTCAAATTGGACGTGATTTCTAAATTAATTCAAGCTTCTATAAATACATAACGTGGACAGAACATTAAATGATCTCTCTATAGCCTCTCATATCATATCACATCATAAAAGTTTTCAAGAGCAATGGGCAAATTTACCATCTTTTGGGAGAGAAGATCAATAGCGAAATGGAAATGCATGATCATGAACTCACACTGTCCGTAATAAGTCCTAAAAATAGTTTTCAATATATCATTTACCTTGACTTTCAGATGCTAATGCCCCGACCTAAAGTAGATTTTAGAAAACACATGTGCATCCCTTAATTGGTTGAACAAATATTTTATTCTTGAAAGGAGATATCTATTTTTGATGGTCAGATGATTCAATTATCAATAGTCGATATACATTCGCATAGTCACATCCTTCTTTTTCACAAAGAGTATTATAGCGCCCTATAGAGATACAATTAATGGCAAGAAACCTTTTATCTACAAAATCTTACAATTGTAGTTTCAATTCTTGAAAATCTTTTGGTGATATTCTATACAGTGACTTGGATAATGGTGTTGCTTTGGGGACCATATCAATCATAAATTCCACCTTTAAAAAAATGAGGACTGTACCTCCAATATTTTATTAATATGCTCTTACTTGTGATGGAGGAATACCATAGTTACATGAGTAAATAATAAAAACAGTAAATGAGGAAGAACTACTTCTCTTACATAGAAAATAAATGAAAAGGGATAAATGTAAAGCTGTAAAAAAAAGTACTACTTTCCTTACAATAAGAACTAATGCAAGTAAAGACAAAAGTAAGAATAAAAAATTAAAAAATCATACTCTAATGCTGGGCAGTCCATGTCTTTCAATCTGTACGAGTACCATAATATACCTTGATTTTCCTTTTTGTAGATATAAGAAATTGTGTTTCTGTCGAATGATACGATATTTGTGATCTGTTTGAGTATGCCCTAAATAGTCCATGATCCTCTTCCTCTAGTGATGCAGTGAATAGCTACTATAGAATTCGACTCAATCCAAATGTCTGAAAGATCGAGTCCTCTAACCTATAGAATTCCATTAAGAATAGCCGTTAGCTCTGCCTCAAGTATCACGGTCCATACGAAGCTGAAAAAGCCCTGATACAATGTCCTGCGCAATCTAAGATGATGCCTCTCTCGATAGAAAAATAATCATTCACGCATCCATCAATATTGCTCTTGACAGATCCAACTAATGGAGGGGGCCACCAAACCAGAACAGGAGGAGATCGGGAGTAGAAATCAAAGAAATACCAATGATGGGTGCAAGTATCAGATCTCGTCTCCAATGCGAAAGACCTTCCATATGATACGTTTGGCCACCATTTGGATCCTCATATACTTCGCATCATTCATCTCGGTCCATAGAAACCAAAATACCAATAGATGAATGATAGTGTGAATGTATATACAACGAACATACTTTCCAGAATATAGTGTGAATGTATCTACAACGAACATACTTTCCAGAATACCTCCATCTCTGGAACCTCCATCTCACTCCCTCTCTTGAACTCATATGTATCTGAAAAACGTTCCCAAAATGTTGTCATACCTGATTGGAGATGTTACTCAAGTGAAAATATGACTGATAAACTACACTGACAACGAGAAGCCATCTGACACCCAATCCTCCCCTGATTAACCACATCTACTGGAATGAGATCCTGCCATAGTCTCCAAATAAGAATCATGATACTGGTATCCTGAACGTAAGAGTTGCCATGCAGACTTGGTTGCGAAGCTACTATTCGATGTATACCTTTAAATAATGCGATCTGGGGCATCTGCACATAAAT